AGTATTGTGTTCCCTCTCGACAGTGCTACAAGATCCGATCAACGTGACTGTACGTGGATAGGCTAGGTACGTAAAGTAATTTTCTTGAACACGATTAAAGATGGACTATGGTTTCTAACTAGCTGGCGCTGCAGGTACAAAGAAAAACAACAAGTACATGCAACGTTGGGGCCAAGTGCGCACCGGATCTAACACGTCGTACTACCCGTGCACAACCACCCCTACCTGATCATGATCCTCCTCCCCACCTTCATTTCTTCTAGAGCATCTCCGGGTATCGTTCATCCAATGAATTCTTAAGAGTTTGAAACGCACAGCACGATTTTTGATACTACGGTATGTATTTGTAAAATTGAATGTCTGTGTGTAGTGGTTATACCCCTGTTTCTTTTGACGGTTTAACCCGTTATATCACTTTTTCTAGAACACCAGCCATACTGCAGGGATCTATCCAGGTTAGGGGCTGGAATGTGATGTGAACCTATATCATGAACCTGGAATATTTACTGATTTCATGAATTCAACAGTACTATTAGAGCTTGTTTGGACTCCAGGATTTCCAGGGATCCCACTCTGTTCTCGTGTTACGTGGCACATCAACCCTTATGTTTTGACCGTATGGTCGAGATCGTTATTGTTGAGCATACATTAGTATTGTGGAACGCACTTCGACACAAGCAATATGTGTTTAGAAGAAAATCTTTGTGGTATATATCCGAGCTGTATCCCATCAGATATATGGGAAATTCGATTTTGTGGTCTGGAGTACGTTAGAAGCTGACCCGAATCTTGCGTAATTGCGCCACGCCAGACTACCCCCCGAATTCACCGCGAAGAGACAGAAATTCGTTGAAAATACAGCTATTTATGCGTCATACTGGCTGTCAGTACCCTCGAGTGCTGTTACCGATCGAGTAAGAAGGCTTCCTTCGGTCTGGAATCCTTTTCCTCTGCTTTTTCTTCTATCTTGAGCCGGAGACGTACGGGACGTCAACCCCAATGAATCTTCCCTCTGCAAATCTCGAGGTCTCTTTATTTACTTTGATAAGTCTAAGATATGGAGACAAATATGCAAGTAGCTAGGGTACGATCACAAGACCGGGGATCAACCCTATCTCATAGCCTTGCAAAATCCGGGTATTGTAGGGACGCATATGCAGCCTTCATGTTCAGCTGATCAAGCTCACCTCCATCCAGCATCAATCCCGGGAGTTTGTGGGACTAAGTGCTTGCAAGGTGCAAGGCAGATCCTGATCCTTAACTCTCCCAGGTTCTTTATTTTTTCATCCCCCGGATTCTGAGAGGTGGAAAGTCCCGGCACCGTTATTTACACACCGGGAACCGACATCGTCACTCGTATTTGAGATTTCATACGGCTTAGTTGGCCATAACCTACCGTCTCCCCCTAGCTATACGGCCAAGTCTCCACCAACGACTACTACTATCCGACCGGAGCCCCTCACTCCTTCACAAAGAAACTCCGCTCTCAATTCTTGGAACTCAGAAAACCAGACTACTCAATTGAATTGGAATGTTGCAATTGGCTAGTAATCGGGATCTATAGCCAGGCGATGGTGTCCATGAAATCACAAAATCAAACTGTAGATTAGCGATGTATAAAACAACATACATTGCGTTCCGTCAAGGGTCAAGGATTATTAACGCCTGATTATATTACCTTGCCGAGCCGGGGAAGGAGGCGCTCCTTGAATTATTTCTCGGAATTCAATCATTGATATGTATGCGTAGGTACATACATGTATGTATGCACTGCACGTGAGCAGCGCCAGTAGATATTCCCCCCATGAGCGCACCAATCAGATAATGAGGTGGTTTTATAATTTATGATACAAGCAGTAAACGAGGATCGAATTGATCTTCCATTCCTCATGGTTAGAGCGGATCGGCTACAGGGTCAACAACTGACCCTTGCTGAAGCTGCAGCTGATCTTGGGTAACCTAGCTATACTCCTGGCTACGAAGTTATGGAGAAAGACCTAGTCCTAGTGGTGGTGGTGGTGGCGGCGGTGCGTCGGCCTCAGTTTCTGGGAATACCTGGTACCTACCAGCTAGGGAGCCACATCACAGCTCAAAGTAATGCGGGTTGTCAAAAATAATGCCGGGACGCAACGGGACACCGCAACGGCCACCACCAACGAACTAACACGGAATGAAAATATATTTTGAGCCTCTAGTATTTCTTATTATCTTTTATCTTATTTGTGGCCTTTTTGTGGTCGGTCGTGGTTGGGAGATTGTTACGTTGAAGCCTGTTGCGTCCCATTATATATTTTTGACAACTCGCAATAGCAACAGGCCCCATGTCAAAATGAGGTTGAGAAATCTATATTGGGCTAGGTTAACTCTCCTATATCTGAGTCAATGCATGTTGAAATTAGCAGATCAAATTTTTAATTGCTGATTTCGCTCGGAGCATTGTAAACTATGTTTAGTTTTGTTTTTTTAAGGGTCACCGATATCTTGCCTTCTTGTGGCGCTCTGTGACCGGTCAAGTAGGGAATTTTTAATGCCGAATATGTAGCCTTCTTAGACCTGAAGATCAGGCCAATATCACAAGAACTACATACACAGAATCGCATATTGACCAGTAGCCGGTACACGGGCCTTACGCATATCCTTGATTTGGACAAGCTCGATCGGATAAATCAATCGCATTCGTAGCTTACATTAGCAACTGCGGACATGCATTATCCCTTTAATATTTACATTATATATGCGGGACATTATGGTATGCTTCTTATCTAAATACGCACTCTCTCGCGGTGAGGCACTGCGTGGGATTACCAATCTGAAGTGAATATATACATGTACGTATAGAGCCAATAGTCCCGTGACCAACTAATTGAACCCACGACGCTCTTGGTTGATCATGATCTATCACATCTAATATCTTTCCAGGGCGCAGCTGATGCCATGGCTCCGGTACTGGGTTCTGTGGGAGGTCGATCGAGAAGGCTGTACCAAGCAATTACATACCATAGGACCAGGCTACAAGGTATAAGACCGGCGAACAATAGTAGACAATATGTATAGAAAGAAGTATTTCTTCTTTTTCCTACTGCCATAGTACTAGTTACGCATTTGACCCTACTCAGGCCCAGGTGGGACTGGTGTCGTAGCTTGGCAAAGAAATCTGTTCTTGTTCCATCGCCGGTATGATAACGTGTGACATGTGATAAGGCTTTTTCATGGGGAAACATGCGATATGTGACTACACCCATAGCTATCTGACCAGTAAAGGTGCCTACAGATTATCATGATCTGTACCTGTGCACGTATCGCGGTTGAGTGGGACGGCTACCCCATGGGTTGTCTTATCTCATATTAGACTATGTGACGCCCACATTGATCCTCAAGTTAAATGAAAAGAAGAAAAGCTTGTTTACGTTAACAGTCGCAGCCTAAAGCTAATAGAGAGGTTTTGTAGACGGAGTGCGTACTACATGTATCTACAGGGATGTGAGTGCAGAGTCCGAAATTCTGAAGTTTTGCAAGACGGCTTGTACTCCGACTTTCTCGGGCGCACATCATATATGCCTCTATTTGGTGAAGCTTTCGTCTTGAGCCAATTATCCTGTTTGCTCACCTGACCTGTGCACGGGTTAGTACAGACTTCTTCACTAATACAGGCTTCACGTCTCGCAACACTTTGGGGTCTGAACACCTGCTGTTGCTGTGAATACAAGTACATACACTGCTTGTAAAACCTCTCTAATGTATCGCAAAGAAAGCGCGGCAGGCAGGCTCATAGCTGATTGTTCGCGGGCCAAAATTGCTTTTTATCAGCTTGAAGGTCCGTAGAGATGTCCCGCTAGTACCTATGTAACATGTGTTGTGGAGAGGATTCATGTCTATCTATTCCTTAATATTATTACTTAATAAACGAACAAATCAGGTCAATAAGCACAATTCCGATTTTGTAAGGTTACCGGTATCGAGTGATAATCTATGACTGATGTACACACACATACACACATGCGTATATACGCCTCGTTGCCCCCCTATTGTTTTACTTTTTCTCACCGCAAAATTAAGCCTCATGGCCACTTGCCCCTCCAATGAGAACCTTTCGCAAAGCCTGGGTTCTGACTGTTTGAATAAATATCTGCTCATGCATTTATTGAGCTAGCTAGCTGCAACTTGGCCCGTGTATGTGTATACGTGTGGACACCAAATTAGCCGGTCTATTAGCCGGCCAGCGAATATTTAGATATTCACAACCACTACATGTAAGTACCGATTTACAATAATGAGCCTCAATATCCAGCCAGTTTTCCGAGTAACGGGATGATCCCTCTGAATTTGGAGAATTTAGACGAAAAAATTTTCTCGCGGGACAAACCGTTTTTTGGTTTCCTGAACCCTTTGGAAAGCCGATTGTACCCTTCTCAGAGCTCGCATTGATTTGTGCGCTTCTGACGAAGGCTTCTGCTTCTTTTCTTATTTGTTTATTTGATTTGGTGCAAATATATATGGAAAACAGGACCCATCAAAGCCAAACTTTGAACCCTTCTTGCCCATAAAACTCGGAATCTTGCAGTACCTCTCAGTAGCATCTGCTTTGGAAAAACACTAGAATACCCCTGTACAGTGCCAAGAAGGGGGAAGAAAGAAAAGTAATGGGACAATCGAAGAAACCCACGGATCCTCGGTATAAAAAAAAAAAAGCCATATCCAAAATGCGAAAAGTGAAGAATAACATACAATGTAGAAAAGACCGAAAAGACCGACCGACCGAGTGACCCATTGAGGAAGAAAGTTAACGGATACATAAAGACCGAGGCGACCACCCTTCCTGCTGATCGACCTGTAACTCGCAATGAATGAAAGCAATAAGTACTCCCTGAAATTCATAATGTAAAATAGGAAAATCGTCATAAAAATAACATTAAACTCCCTGCGTCATATATTCGTCCCTTGTTTGACGCAAATTTCCCTTCCAAACCTGCTCTGTTTTTTTTTGACCCCAATGCGATTCTCTAGAATCCTTCTAGATCTTCATCGTCGTCATAAGTAACCTCAATGCGACTCCCGAGTGCCTCTCTTCCTTCTCTAATCATATCCTTCAACTTTTCGTTGAATCTTCTGATGCTCTCATCTGCCTCGTCCTCATCGTCGTCTTTTGGTGGTCCGGCATTGAAGCTTCCACCGTAACTGCTGCCGATAGATACAGCTCTACCACCAGAAATGCTACCCCCCGTCAATCGACGCCTCGAGGAGCGGGTACTAGCAGATGACGCTGCACCAGCCCGCCCAGACGACGGAGCTCCGTCAAAGGTGAAAGTGGACTGCGGAGGCGCCGGATAGCCGCCGGGCGCTGAAACAGACGACGCTTGCGAATGTCTAGTTCTCACCACCGCAGGTCGTTTTGCCCGGCTACTCGCGGCAACAACTGGCCTAGCTGGCGGTCTCCGTGAGGTTGACGTGTTAGAAGCCGTGCTGTTCCTCCTAGTTCTCGAGGGAGCTCCATTGGTTGCATTTGTTTGTGTTACGGTGGCAGTAGCAGTGGTTGTTGAGGTTGCTGTGGTCGCATAAATGGTGGGAGAGTATGGAGGCGTGGTGTAGATGTTTGGCGCTGTGTAAGGGCGTGGAATCCTTGAGGCAGCATTCAGCGGGATATGGGTAGCAGTTGCGGGGCGCGAAGAAGCGGTGGACGCAACGGGGGTGGGAGACACCATGACCCAGCGGGATGATAGTCCACCGGTATGATCTTGTTTTGATTCCTCCTGCTGGACCACCTCTGGAGGGCAATATGTAGATGGTGACGGAGCGGAAGCAAAGTAATTTTGTTGCATTCCCATACCGTTCCCAGCCTCCCCTGATCCCTGCAATTGAAACTGGGGGTTGGAGTACCCCCCTGGCATTGTTTTCATATGACGTTGAACGTCACGCTCGAATGCCATTTCATCTTTCCCTTCAAGATTTTCCTCGACTCCTGAGTAGAAGGGGGTTTTGCTGATGCAAAACTCCCACACTCTACTCGCCACGCTTCCAACAACATCGATAATTCTCCGTTTGGCAGCTGGACGACCGTCATCCCCAGCCATCTCTACACGTTTCCCTCTCGGGCCGTCTTCGGCATCATCATCTGCTAGGCCTCGTTTCCGACTTCCAGCCAATGAGGTACGGAAAGCAGTATCGGAATAGAGAGAGTTGCGCATGACGTCCTCATCAGAATCGTAGTTATTGGTATTACTATAGCTACTTGGGGGAGTATCAGCGGGTCTCCTCTGCTGGAGACGTTTTCTTGTTGGAGCAAGAGTTGGGGATGGGGACTGGGCAGACTGCGTCTGAGCCGGAGGAGAGTAAAGAAACGAATGATGTTTTGGGTAGCTCGGTAACGAAGCGGGGATAGCGGGGAGGAATGATGAACCAGGCATGTTGTTAGCGGACGAAGAGGAAGAAGAGGATTGGAATGGGTTTGGCGGTATCATCTGAAGGGGGGGTGGGCTTGATAATTGATGGGGTAGACTCGAAGATGCGTTGTGCGTTGGCTGATGGGGTATACAATACAGTGTGTAGTAAGCTATCAGGGGGGGGGGGGGGGGGGGAGAAGATGTGAGACTTGGGTGGTTAGCGAGGAGGGGGGGAGTAATTAGTGACAAAGCAAGCAGGGACAGCTGTAGCAGCTGCAATAATAACTAACAACACCACGCAGGGCAGTGTAGCCAAGCAGTCAACACAGTTCAGAGTGAACCGGGTAGAGTGGCTCGAAGTCGGGTAACAAAGGGTTGAGGCTCAAACCCAGGGAAGGGAGGGGGTGTGAGGGATCGAGGAGGAAGGAGGGGAAGAAAGGAAGGTGAGGGATCGGGAACAATAGATAATGAGCTAAACGTATTAAAGACAGAGAGCAGAGAGTGACTGTCAAGAGTAGATGAACCTTTACTCAACACCGAGCTGCTGCTGCTGCTGCTGCTGCACAGAGTGAGGGGTTCTAAGTCTGGGGGAAGCCTTAAACGACGATGGTCAGTCGATCGTGACAAGTCGAAAGACTTTTTCTTTTGCCGATGCGCTAGGCAACGCAGCATTTGAGCCCTGCCATAAATGGTCAAAGAACCCGAGATCACGTGATGGACACTATTCTTTCAACACTAAGCCATTCTCGGGCTGAATATTAAGAAGTAGAGCGAAATAGTAACAATAATCAAAGAAAGTTAGACTGAGCAGCGATTAGTAACGCAAGCTCAGGGGCGTTAGAACGGCTGAAATCTCCGGCCCGGTGGCGTGTGCACCTCTTGATTGATCCTACGCGCTAATCCTAATGCAGCAGCTTCAATGCCCTGTGGAAGCAGAACACCCCTGCACCCCACAGATGATTGGCCAAGTACGGGGTAAAAAACAGGTGACGTAACTTCTACGTTATCGTCGAACCATGTAGGTAGACAATCGTGATTCGATTCACGATGGGGGTCCCCGGGGATGTGGACAAAAGAGAGGTGAGAGATGAAAATCAGAGGGACATTAGAAACGGTCCTGTGGTCAAAACTGAGACGAGGTGCTTCTGGGTGCATTGATTCAAGGACAGAAACGGTATCAAGCAAAGTAGAGTAGCTTCAGGACTCGCTTGTAGCCCACAGCTCGACGCCACAGTCGAAATCAAGAAACAGCAGCCAAGAGGACGACCAAGGTACAAATCGGTCGTACTCTTGCCTCGGGATCTAACTGCTTGGGCCAAAATGAAGGAGATCTTCCCCGCATCCAGCTGTAGGTCCCTTGCCTTGTATCGCAATTGGCCAATTGCCCATCGCTGTCCAACAGGTTTTCCATTTGCCGCGTGGTTGCTCCCGTGTTATTTCCCCAGGCTTCCCTGAAGCTCCAACCAAATGTTGCGGGGTACCAGATGTATCCTCATTGTCCCATACGTCATCCATAATACCCAGCCGTGTTTGTGGAGTATTAAAACCACCACCATCCCCTTTCTTTCTTCTTCTGGACACCTTCATCTGTTTCCTGCCTGTGTGACGAAGAAACTGTGAGGAAAGATAATTTAACACCAGTGACAGCAGCAGCAGCAACAACAGCAACAACAACAGTAATAACAGTCATGGGTCCCAGTAATTCTTCTTCCCTCTACTATTTTAAGTCGTGATTGATACTAATGTTGGTGTATCTGCAGCCAATCCATTCTCCCGTGATCCTGAGGCTCAGCGTAACGTCCTTGCGTACAAAATCCTCACGCTACTATCTTTCCTACTGGCCTTCGTCACAGCCATTGTCTACACCCATAGCCCACCGCTGGATGGGAGCTATACCAATGGAACCATCTTTGTAAGCTACCCTTTTATCCAAACGTGAGCGTGACGGAGAAGATATCGATGTGAGGCTTCTTTGTGGTATAAACTACTGTGGGATCACGGGAAGCTCGTACTACGGATAACTCTCCTACCCCCCAACCCATTCAGCCGAAATGTTGTGACGAACATAAATCTCCGTAGTTGGAGGCACTGTTCCGGCACGAACCCTAGCTGTGGCCGTTGATCTCGTCACCACATAACCTTGAAGCCATTTGCTAATTTTTGTCTTCTTGTGTTTAGGGCATTTCGGATCTCCACGTGACTCCTTTCACCCAATCTCACGTCTTCGTATCCATCTACTGGATTGTCCTTTACTTCCTCCAAATCGGCTACATCTGGCATCTTTTCTCTGGAAATGAGGCCCATGTTAAGGCTGCAGCCTCGGTTGGCTCACACTTTATCCTTTTCAACCTCCTTCACTTTGCCTGGATCATGTTGTGGTGCCGCTCGCATTTCATCCTTTCCGAAGTGGTAGAGGTGATTCAGTTCCTGCAGCTCACTGCCTTGTATCTCCGCCACTCGACTCTCCCTCGCTGGATCCACACTCCCGTTGTTGCCATGCCATTGACCTTCACCTTTTTCCTCGTGGTGTGGAACGGTGCCGTGATGGTTCACTGCCACGGCTTGATCTGCCGCGTTCTTGCAAATGTTGCCATTTGGGGAATCCTTGTTTACGCCGGCTTCTTCTTGGCCGCTTTCAAGGATTGGCACATTGGCTTTGCAACCGCATTCTTGAGTGCCGGACTTGGTGTCGGCCAGTTCTTTACAAAGACCATTGCTCTTCAGTGGCCATTTGCATTCGCCATTATGACCATCGTTTTCCTTGCTACATGCACCGTTGCTGTTCCGGAGGTCTTTGGTGCTAGCGAGGCGAGAGGGGGCGGCGAGAGAGCCCCACTACTCCAAGAGAGTGCTTAAGTTAATTCGCCTTGTGCTCGATGTGTGTGGTGAACAAACGTTAAATTGGAGGAGCTTAGTTTCTTTGAGATAATATCATTTTCCTTGGGTCATTCTCTTACTATGATAGGGCTATTTCGTGTTGGTGCTTGCGATATGAGTTCACGGTTTTATCAGGATTGTCTCTTTTTCATACTCAAACAGTTTTGATTTCTCTTTAATGCATGCGTTATCGGATCATGGATAGTTTGGTTAGGTAGTTTTCTTCGGATTTGGGTACTTGGTAGGAGTCTTGACACTGTCCGTATCTAGCTCATGAAATTTTATACCATTCTAATACATGTTGGTTATGATCTTATGTGGTGTTGACGATGCTTAGTGATAGTAGCGTAGTGGTCGACGAGCAAGAGGAAAAGCTCGAATGGGCTCGTGATAACAGCTACTCGACTCGATTCGACTTGTAAGTGCTCGAGTACAGCTCGAGCCACTCGCCCTTTTCAGTGGCCTCAGATAAGTAGTCCTTGAAGTCATTCTAGATCTCATTATTGGAGCATATGTTCCTAGGGTTAGGGTTTACTACTAAGGCATTGTATAAAATAAATTATCAAAGACATTGCTAGCATCTTTACTATGATTAAAAGAACACCCAAAAAGCTCGAGCTTTTCAAGTCGAGCAGAGGAAAAAGCTCGAGCTTTGGGCTCGAGTCGAGGACTAGAGCCAGCTCGTCTCGTCGACCACACTACAGTAGCGTAGAAGCAGGGTCCACATCCGAGCGTCAAGAAAACGAACAACTGATGTGCGTAACCGTCAAACATAAAATCTACATAGGACGTTTAAACCCACTTGTGTCCAAGGGGTAGATCGTGACGGCACTAGCTAGGGAAATTGAACCCAGATCCTGTTGATCCCACGTCTGATCTCAGCTCACCGGTTCTAGTACCTAGGAGTACATCCCCACTTTTATGTTTTCTTCCCATCAACATTTTGAATGCCCATATCAACGGGAGAACGATATTCTCTCGAGATGAATAATTCGATAATCATGAAATATCACTCGCTACTCGATTTGATGGAGAGCAGTAGCAAGGACCACTCTAAGTGGCCACTACACCACCCACACTACAGTCCATCACGCATATACCCAAGCACACAAACCACTCAGTGACCCCCCCCCCCCCCTCTCTTTCTCCCAGATCGTGAACACGCGAGAGTAAACTTCTTAAGTTACTCTTACGTAGATCAGCGCAGAACAAAGAGTTCTCGCCTGACGTAGAACCAAATCTTTTCACTACATACCTAAACTGCAGAGGATGTGGGGGGAAGACGGTGCTTGCCACTGGTAGGGGGTGTCCGTAAGGAGGTAGCATAGTGGGGGGGGAGCATGGAGGAGGAGAGAGGATCATTAATGATATTCATTGTTTCCCATTATGATTACTACAGCGTTAACCTCACTGCATCTGCCCGCCCCCATCGACACCACTACTACTTCACCACCCCCCCCCCCCCCCCCCCCCACAATTCCCCCAACCATATCAAACCAAAACCGCTGCCCAAACCTACCCACCCACTTTGCTCCAAATTACTCTACTACGATAGAAAACCCTATCCTACAAAACAATTACACTCCCCGCTCTCCCTCTCCGGATCCCCCTCCCCCTCCATGACAGCATCATACACGAAAGGCCGATTTATTCATTTATTTCTCTACCCCCTCCCACTTCGACAGCGGCGTGGACAAATGGAATATAGTAACAAAGGAAACTAGTAATAATAAGCAACAAATAAGAAAAGGAAAAGGAAAAAAAAAAAAACTCCAGTAGAAGAAAAAACACTAATCCTCCCAATCCTCATCCCTAATCCTCGCCCCACCCACCCCGTGCGTCGCCCAAAAACGATACAATGCTTGCGATGTCTTTCATGTAGTCGCAAAACTTCCGTACTGAAAAACCGCCTGCCCGCCTTGAAGAAGGAAAGCAAAACTACTCTAGGCACTGTGAAAAAAGTAGTTTATGAATTATTTCGAAGAACCCACCCCCCACCCCACTCCTAAAAGACTGCCGCAACAACTACAGCGGGCCAAGAGGGGGTGGTTTTGAAATTTAATAGCCGACAAAAGAGAATCGATAGGGACAAAAGAAAGAAAAAAAAGATACAAAAGGAAAAAAAAGCAGAAGAAAAAAAAAATACCCCCCCGCTCCAATCCCTATTCCAATGAATCAAAACGCCCTTTGCCCTGCCCCTATCCCCCCCCCCCCCCTTTTCTCACCGATTGACTGCCCTACAATTCTTATTTTTTTTTTCTCCCACGGGTTTCTTCTCATCCAGCTATTACACATTACCCCGTCCTGCCCATGAACCCCGGCGGGCCGGGCTCGGGCCCCAGCCCCGTCGCCGCAAACTTGATATCCCCACCGCGATACGTCCTATCCGCCGGCTGCGCACCCCCCACCGGCGGCGTAACCATCTTCGTTTCCTTCTCCGCCGCATGCCCGCCAGCCACACCGCCATTGACATTCCCCTGCCCGCCGATCTTGTCCAGGCCGTTAACCTGCGCCCTCACGGACCCGGCCCCAGACACGGAGCGCGCGCGCGCCACGCCACCCCCGTTTGGCATCGCCGAATTCGACGGCGAGCGTGAGGAGGCAGTGGTGGTGGGTGTCTTCTTGGATGCGCGGCCGCCGCCGGCCGCGAGGCGCTTCTTCTCGGCTTCGAGCTTGCGCTCGAGTTCCTCCTTTTGGCGCTCCATGCGCAGGATCTCCTCCTCCTTCTCGCGGTTCTTGTAGGTGATTTTGATCTTTGCGAACTTCTTCACGAGCTCGTCGCTGACCTCCTTTTTTGGGGCGACGGCGGCGCGCGGGGAGGGGTTGCCGCTGGCGCTGCCGGAGCCGGAGCTGGCGGATGGGGAGGTGGTGGTGGCGGTCCGGGTGCCGTCGAAGGTGGTGAGGGAGGCTTTGCGCAGGAGGACGGGCGGTGAGCGCTGGCCTACGCTGTTTCCGACGACGGAGGACTTCCGGGCGAGGGTCCTGGGGGCTGCGACGGTGGGACCGGCGCTCGCTGAGACGACTCTACGCCCGGTTGCGATGGGGATTGGTTCTAAGTCTCTTGGGGGCAGAGGGGTTGTACCGCGGGTGCTCATGGCTCTGGAGGGTGCGCGGGAAGGTGCCCGACTGGAAGCAGTGCTGACTGCCCCGCCTGTTGTTGTCCGTCTTCGTCGGACGTCGAGTGGGGCCGCAGCATCTGGGGTTTTGGCCTTGCGGTCACGGAGAACACGAGTGCTTGAGTCGGGAACAACAGCGACTGAGTGACGCTTGTTTTTGGCGGACTTGTCGATAGGCGGGATCTCGACTGATTCCTGGAACTCGGGAATGATCTTCCTGCTGAGTTCAAAAGCCCTGACTTCCCACGGAATGACTGGTGGTGGTAGCGGAGGGCTGTTTCCGGCGCCGGCGCTGCTTACTACGCGGCGTGGAGTCTCGGACCGTGCAATAGAGGCGGTGGTGGCTGACAGGTATGATGTTGAAGGCTTATCTGTGGCAGCCTTCTTGAAAGTCATCTTCTCGTAGTATCTCTCCAGTTCCCCAAGATTCTCTGAGCCCCACCATTCTGGGTCCCAGCCACGATCCGCAGATGAGGGCCTGGTAGCATATGGTTCTGGGACAGGCAATAGGCCAGTTGACGGCGGGACAAACCCGCTAACGGTTGTTGGCGAAGGGCATGCCAGGCCTGCCAGATGGGCCATAATACCTGTAATCAGTGCTCTATCTGAATAACCACCTTCAAGAACACTCAACACTCGTCCTTCACAGTACTGCTCCGCAAGGGCCAAGGCATCAGAGGTGAATCTTGCGTAGAAGCTTGTGGGGACATTGACGGCATGTCGCTGCATGCCCGAACTCTCGTGCTCACTGGCATCGAACCCAGCCGAAATAAAGACACCGGCTTTGTATTCTCTGCCGTTCTTCTTCGGCTTGGAGACCGATGCTGCCGACAAGAACTCCCGCGCCTTGGCGATCACAGAGTAGTATTTGTTCTCGTACAGCTCCCAGAACTCCTCAACGCTATTATAGGGCTTGAGGTGAATGTTGTGGATAAACTGCCCGTGCGCCTCCAGGTTCAGACTGGCGTTCTTGACTTTATCCATGTCCCCGTCTTCGCAGGGGTACGAGTTGATGTCGTGCAACGAGAAATACCCAATGTTTGGAACGTGAATTCCGGCTGTCTTCTTGGTCGACGCATTGCCAGAGTTGGCGATGTTGTTCAGCGTCCACGCAATAGACTGCGAGCCATCGCCGTGATGCAGATCGAAATCCAAAATGACTGCGTGGGTCAAACCATGCTGTCGCGCAGCGTGGGCAATGGCGATATGCACATTATTCAACCAGCAGAATCCCGAAGGCTGAGTCTCAGCACAATGATGGCCTATATATCAAAATTAATACCATTCCTTTTCTCTCCACGCCAGAAACACATACCTGGGGGTCTAATGCACACAAACGCCCTCTTCACCCCACTCTGATCCTCCTCATCCATCTCATGCCCATCCAGCCCATTCGCACACCCAAAGACGATATCCACCCCATCGTACAGCGCGCCCAAGCACCCCTCCATATCCTCCCTGCTCTCCCCACACAGATACAAATCCCCCTGGTGAAAGTTCTTCGGCACCTCGCACTCGCCCCTCTTCAGCTTCTCCGCCGCCAGCCCACACATGGCCGCCAGCTCCTCGGGCCACGTCTTCTTCCCGCTCCTCCCATCACCATGCGCATGCACCAGCATGACCTCCGGATCCAGCAGCCCGCCCATGCGCACGCTCTTGCGCAGCGACAGCTTCGCCCGCCCGATGCGCGTCTGTGCGGCGGTCACGCCGAGCGTCGCGGCCGAGATGCGCTCCGGCCGCTCCACGATGCCGGCCAGGTCGGCCTTGGTGGTGTTGGGGCGCGAGTACTTGTGGCGGTAGCTCGTGTCGTGGAACACGACCGTGGTTGGCGCCGTCAGGTCCTGGACCGGGATGCCCTCCTTGCGGTACAGGGGGATCAGTGCAGGGTCCGGCGTGGCAACCGAGAGCGACCGCAGCGACATCATGCTGGAGCGCCGGCCGAGGCTGGTCCTGCTGGGCACGAGCGGCGAGGTGAGGGTGGAGGTGGAGGGGGCGTCGGAGGTGAGTGAGGTGATTGAGGGCCTCTTGCGGATGTTGGGGGTTGAGGGTGCTCTGGAGAGGGTTCTGCGGGGGTGGCTGTCGGGCAACGGTGATGATGGGGTTGTGGAGTCGCGGCCTGACCCTGCACTATGACGGAGATCCATGCTGGACCGACGGGGGAGCAGCTGTGATGGGGAGTGCTTGCTGGTGGTATTGGTGTTTGCTGCTGCTGCTGCTGCTGCTGGGGCACCTGGCTGGAAAGGGGATGATAGGGCTGTTTGCAGCGAGAGGGAGCTCAGGGATTCTGTCAGCTTGCGGGAAGGATCTGGCGTTGGTTGGTGCGAGGAGACGCTGCTGGTCCCGCTTAGTCTGCGGTGTCCCGAAGGCGTGGGAGCAGCAGAGCGGGAGGGCATTTTATTTGGTGGCAGCAATCAGGTCAGGCAGACAAGCACTGGCAACGATAGCAGCAGCAGCAGCAGCAGCAACAAAGGGATGTGGACAGGTTCTGAGGGGGGAGGAACTCTGTCCAAAGGGGGGGAGGAACTCTGTCCAAAGGGGGGGGAGAGAGGGGGTGGAGGAGGAGGGAGGAGGGGGAATTGAAGTAGGGGGAATGAATGGCAGTAGGACGGAAGGACGGAAGGGCGGAAGATGATAAAGGATAAATTAAGCTGTGAGTGTTGGTGTATATTTCTCTATCTAATGTATGTAGTATCAGGAATTGACAAATGATGTGATGGCTGGAAGAATGCAATGCGTGTTGGATGATGAGATGGATGAATGGGAAATCGAATCGATCAAACAAACCACAGATCACGATGAAAGGGGTGATGGGGGAGGTGACGGTAGTGCGTGTGAGTGGGTGTGTGTGTGTGTAGGTAGTAGGAGGAGGAGTAGATTAGAGCAAGATGAGAGTTCAGACTTTTTGCTGTCTGTGAGAGCTCTTGATCGATCTTGTTGGTTGGTGATAATAATAATGATGATAATTCCTTCTCTCAGGAAATTAACGACTTCTAATAATGAGAGGACGGGAAGGCTGATCATAAGGAGAAAAGCCTGTTTTTTGTCCGTCTGCTGGGTCGCACACACCCAACACCCAGCACAGACCGACACATCAAGAAAGCAAGCGACGACTTGGACATTAGAGTGCCCACATACCTCACATACCTACATGTACCTCACTCACTCACTCACTCACTCATCATGTCTGCCTACCTGTCCGTCGTACCCATACCCAGGTACAGCCAGAGACACCCTACCTGTCAAATGATATTCAACCAGCATCGACCTACATACATGACTGTGTGTGTAGCAAAGGTGCGTACTCTGAAGTACATGGTAAGAGCTAAGGCTGCTATATAAAACAACCCCCCACCCCGGCCCAGCAAGCAGCATCTTCCAGAACGGATGAACGATCGATCACAGGCAAGGCATGAATACGTGTTTGAAGAGAACCCGTGTAAAGATGAGATACATCATACATGTAGCAGCTTATCCCAAGGCTAGGCCTCATCCTTCAATCCCCGCATGGCATGAAGGGAATCAATAAATCGATCTCCCCCCCCCCAGATCACTGGCAAGCTATATAACGGTCCACTCTTCTCTGCTCTTCTTTCTACTGTGCAGCAAAAAAAATAGCAGCCTCAATTTTTACGCGTCACTAGGGTCCCCTGCTCGTGCATAAGTCACGTTTGTGGTGGTTGTGCTTGTGGGCCCCATAGATAACCGCGTCTCGTTTCGGCTAGGCACTTTCAGTGAACGGTCCAGCATGTGGCAGGCAACAAACGCCCTTGATCCTCCCCTTCCTCCTCCTCCTCCTCCTCCTCCTGTGCTTCTGTGTTGAGTTGAACCACCACCACCACCACCACTGTGCAGCTATGTAGTCAGAGCATCGTCATACCCCACCAGTAAAACCTCATCTTCAGGCAAACCAAACAAACCAAAACAACCTCGTCTCCAGCACCCACACGTCCCCCCCAAAATTGACCCCCGTCCGTCCACAGAGCTCGAAAGCAAATTAAGCACGTGCACCCAGACCAATCGTGAGCCGCAACCTATCGGCGCACCCGCCGATCACATCCCCGATCCCACAGTCCCAAATCAAACAGATGTCTCACACACCTAGCCTCCCACAGAATGTCTCCGCCGCGCGTGCGGTTGGAGAGAGTCGCTGCTGCAGCTTCCCGCACCACCACTTCACTTTGCATGCCCGCCCGCTCCCTCGGGGAGGTACTCTATATATACTTGACTCTAAGCTCTCCTCGAGGGATGGACGTGTGACGTTGCGATGTCGCGGTTTGATGGATTGATTGACATTGCCCTCCCGCGGCCGTGTACAACAACTGAGACTCTGGGGATGGGGATGCTGTCACTCACTGTGCTTGCTTGCTTGCCCGCTTGCTTGCTTGCTCCTGAATGCGTTGTATTGAGATCTCTACTGCTCCGGATCCGCGGCAGAGAAATAATCTAGATGAAGCGGTGCTCTAGAATACATGGACTAGAGTGATAAATACTTACCATATCTCACCCCAGTTTGGTTCACAACCCCCTTAAACCCAAAACCCCTAAACCACAGGCCCAAACGTACCCAAAAGCCAAGACCCGTAATCCGGCGCACAAGCTATCACTCGAATAGCTCACCAATGAGCGCGAGTCCTGGCGGCCTGCTTATTTGTGGCCTAGCCAGTCACATAGTAAAAGAACTCTGCAGCACTTAAGTCTAAGTCTTGTCTAACGCTATTCTGGAACCGTAATAATGGGTAGAGTACCGGTAGCCAGTAGAGTAGAGGGAGTTAGTTTAGCAGGGTATTCTCGGCTTAAGGGATGAATTCCACATCGTGGGTTTCGTGGAATGGCGAAGTGGGGGAAGGCCATGTGTCTGGCGTAGAAACGAAGGAATTGAGTTCCAGGGATACAAACTCTGCAGTCCTTTTACCTTTGTTTTGTTTCAACCCATCGTATGTTGCACCAGGCCGTGACGTCATACATCATATCACCTCCCATCCCATCCATCCCATACATCCCATCCATCCCATCCATCCCATCCCATCCCATCCCATCCCATCCCATCCCATCCCATCCCACCCAAACCCTACCACCAGCTCCAATCACAACACCCACCGCCTCGACCACTAACCAGCACAGCAATAGTAGATTCATACACCCATATCTGGTCATATCGAATCACTCACGTAGCACCGGAAAAAGAAACCAAGAGTACCCCCCACCCAACCAGGGAAGGGCTCCACGCGAGCTGTCACCCACGCACCCCCGCAGGGTCCAGGAGCCCGTTTGTTCCGCGGCACTAATAAGGCCAGCTAGCTGGCCGTTTGCAGTCTTAGCTGCGGTGGTAGCTACTAAGCTAGCTAGCTCGCTGTATCTATCTCCACTCTCCACTTCCACTACAGGCAAACGAAAACCAAACAAAAAAACCAACCAAAAAAACTCTCCTCAATTCTCAACTCTCCCATCCTCAATCATAATCCCCTAAATATACATACCTCTACCGCCTCAAGATAGCCACACACAAAATGTTTCTCCCCACCGCCCTCCAATTCCTCCACTACCTCCGCCTCCTCTCCCCTCCCCCTCCCTCCCCCTCCCCCTCCACCACCGCCGCCGCACCGCTGTCACCACCGCCGCCGCAATCACTCACCTGCCCCCACACCCTCATAGTCACCCGCACGGAGTGGTACACCCATGCGTACGCGGCCACGAGCCCGGCGGAGCAGGTTGTTATCTTCGATATGGAGGTGGTGGAGGTGCCTATGCGGCTGAAGAAGGTTCAAGTACAGATAGAAGAAGGTGCGGAGGCTGTAGTCGTTGAAGAGTTAGTTGAAGGGCGGGTGTAGGTGGGGTGTAGTGTTGGGGGTGGTTGCTCCTGGCCTTGTGGGCTTGTATTGTCCTCATTTCTTGCCGTGGTGCTGGGGTCGGATCGGGGTGGTTGGAATTGCTTGCAATTGTTGAGTAATCATTTTCTTAGGATGGGTCTGGGCGGGGGTTTTTATCTTTTGGGTTTGGGTCCGGAAAAAGGCATTATTCTTATCTGTACAATTACTTATATTTTCCTTACAACATCTTTATCTGTGGGAGCCCGGGTTGGGCGTTTCTTTTATTGTTTCTTTTTCACCTCCGGTTTTTGAGCTGGGTTTACTCATGATATGTTACATGAAGTGGCCCGGGGGTAGATGGTGGGTACTTGGCAAGAGGAGATGTATCTTAAGCCCGTTAAGCTTTTTGGTAGTATTCCAATTGGACTTGTCTGCTAGCTCAGATGAGAGACAGAAGATGAAGCTAGCAACATATGAGCATCTCTATAGACTACCGAGTATATTGTACTGGATTATCGCTTCCTCAATGCCAATAGTAGCGACCATGCCGTTCTCCGGCGATTTCTAAGTTAACTTGTAGTGTCCCCCATTGGTTATATTCCGCGTGCCAATAATCCAAAACAAAGAGACTATCACAGCCAGTTGCAGTCATGACCCATCCATATATTAGTACAGCAGCAAGGCACTCTGTAGCCATCAGGATTATCGTAGATCCCCAGCCTAGCTTCACATCTAGCTAGATGAGACGAGACTTCAGGTCCGGATACAGCCGTCAGGCAAATACTCCCCGAGTGTACTCTTATTCGGGCCATGATCCAGGCAGGGCTGGGGCCCCGAAGCTCACTGCGGTAGGCTGGGTGTGTGCTGACGGCGGGGGGTTGGGGTTCAATAGAAGACTGAGACGTGTGCAAACTAAATGTTAATTATCCCAACTCATCAACGAACACGGTAAAGGTTCACGATTCGAAGAGCTCCCGCCTACTAGTCATTTTTTGTGTTTTTCTTGGATTGTTCCTCTATTGTATTCCAGCGCAGTCCAATGGTCGAATCATGCGATAGGTAACGAACGTTCCGATGGTGTATCTGCTGGTCGATAGTCGGCTGTTGAAGCTGTGGCCCGGCATGCGGCGAAGGTTTTTCGGCCTGGTTCCGGGAGATAGAAAACCATTCAGCGGCGCTTGAGGATCGGTTAGTTCAGATGCAATTAATTGCCATGTTGGAAAACGACAGAAAGATGTTGGACGGCTGTAGCAGAGTCTCTAAGATAATGTCCATCGTCGGATCCGGAAGGGAGACGAGAACATGTGCGGAGAGTAGAATTATGCTGTTGTGCGCTGGGTGCTGGATCGAGTTTAATAACACGGTATGATATAGCTGCTCTATATGTACATGTATGGTTGAAGGGTACGTTACGTGTCGGGTAATGGAGTATAAGAAGCGAGGAGGCTTCCCTTTATGTAGTCTCGGTCATCAACATGGCCATATATAATCCACTGATATTTTACTTCAATTAGCACCACACCACACCACACCACACCACACCACACTTCCCAATATTCTAATCCAGGGCAGAGATGGTGTGTCTGACAACATGCAGCTTTAAGAGCCTCTGTTCTATTATATTCCAGGCCTCCCCCAAAGACGATTCTATTGCATGACTAGCGACTTGGCCCAGAGCCATGGCTCGGCAGTCGGATCTGGCTCACTCATCCGTACAATTCTCTATGCACGCGCTATCACTCGCCCGTCTTGGCACAGCACAACACCCCGTAAGGATCTTGTCTTGGCAGGGGTAACTTCTTCAAGGTCTTTCTCGACCAAGCCAGCTGAACTCACTGCTTGGGGCCTGTCAATGAGGCTGTGAATCCTGGCTGCATGGCAGACAAGACGGGCACAAGCTCTACTCTAAGCTTCAAGCGAGTGCATACATACACCCATCCCCCCCCCATCCCCTTTCATTAAGCTTAAGGGCTAACCTTGTTTTATATGCGAATAGGAGGTGTAGAAATACTCAAGTCGGGAAGGTGCGGGTGAGCATGCTTTCTAATTCTTCTTGACCCCCCACCTGTGGTTACGTATGGCTGGTAGGAAAGTAGCTGAATAGATGGCCCTGAACGATAGGATTATCCAGTGCCGAGTACTTTGCTCTCACGACTGCTCTTCAGCAAGGCGCAACGATAGCGAACTCCGCTTCTTAGTACTGGTGTTGATCTTGCGGCGCGAAAGTCCTGGTTTCTACCATGCCATGCTTAGTGAAATTACCTACTGTCTAGGGCATGATGGTAGAGTCATTCAGCAGTGAGGGGTATGTCGGCCCAAAACCCGAGAGGGTCGTAGATACATGGGTTACTATTGGTTGAGGCCTGCAAGAAAAAGGGCCGTATGCGGAAGATGTGTGGTCAGGGGAGGGGGAAGACTATACTGGGAATATATACCGAACCCAGGCGGGTGGTTTCTCTTCATGGGGATTATAAAGGCATGAACACCGGCACATCAAATCACTTACTGTCTGAGAAGTCGTATCTGTTGACGGACCATCCATGCATGGGATAATACTAATAAATCATGGTATAGAAGCCTTCATCGTCCGCTGAACTCATCATTGTACCCATCAGCTGTTGTTCACATACACATCACATGTACCTGATATGCCAATCATAAAATCCCCAAAAATCAGCATCGATGACGATCCATTTGCCGACAACTCCGCGAGCACGAGTCCCAATAGCGACTACAACGACATCCCACTCGCAAACCTCACAATACCCTCAAAGACCGGGCGTATAACAACCTTCGAGTCCCACTACCTCAAGCATTCGGGCTCCAACACCAGTCTTTCCCGCACCTGGCTTGCCTCCTCCGAGGACCTCCAGCCCGCCAGCCCGCATCCTCTAAAGTCTGTCAGCACGCCCATAGACTCCGAAGGTAATGCCCTGATCGCACCATGGGGGATTCATTGGCGAACGCCCATCTCGATGGTTGGCCTCTTTCTCGTAGGCCTCGTGGCCGCAATAGTACACCACTACTACTACAACTTCCTTCACGGCACCCCCGCGGGCTCCGCCGAGGCCCAGGAGTGGGTGAACCGGATAGGTACGGGGCTGGCATTCCTGTCGCGCTCGGCCTTGTCGGGCGTCATTGAGATCGCTCGGAAGCAGTGGGTGTGGGTGACGTTGAGGGAGAAGTCCATGTCTCTGATGGGGATAAACGCCATGTTTGGGGCCGGGACAGACCCCATGAACTTCCTTAGCGGGGAGATGATATCACGGGCAAAGTTCAACACGTTCCTGGCCATGATCATATGGTCCTTGCCTCTTGTAGCTATTTTCACGCCAACCACAATCACGGTGTTTTCCTCGGGGAAGGAGAAGGTGGGAGAGTGTGTGGTACCGTCACTATCGTTCAACTTTGGTGCCGAGCCACTGGACGGGTTGAAATGGTACAACTTGTCCAACGGTACTACCCTTGGCGATATATTCGAGGAGGTCTACCACAACCCCAGCCCCCGTGCTAGCAGTATCTTCACGACCGCTGCCTTCTCTGGACAGCCCCTGGTCGCGAGCGATACAGTTCTGGAGGAGGAATGCGGCGAGATGTGCACCTACACCATTCAATTCACCGGCCCGGCCGTAAACTGCACTCAGCAGGCATTCTGGGAGGTTGATGACCCGATTTCCAACACCACGGTCCCCCGCCAGTCTAAAGACGGCCTCAGCCCGGTCTTTAGCGCCGCCCGCGCCGAGAAGGTGTGGAACCAGCTGCTCGTTGGAAACCTGCGCACGCCAGGCGACGAAACAGAGGACTCGGACACCTGGGAGTGGCACGGATATTCGTGCGTGAACTCGATTGGGCTGTACTCGGTCACGGTCAACGTCAACGATGGCCGCATGAGGAAGCCCACGATTGACGGGGTGAAGCTTTTGTACCCAGTGACGGAGGAGCCGTCGTTCAACACCACGTACTCGCGCATCCACATCTCGAACTGGGCCCTCTTTGATACGCTGGTGGACATCCTCGCAGGCGATGTCTCGACCGGAATCAGCCATTTCAACTACTCTATGGACGGCGTCCAGTACAACAAGAGCGCGCAGGAAATGCGCATCACACAGACCAAGGTCCTTTCCACGTCCCTCGCCTCCCCAAAGAGCACAACAAACAACATGAAGACCGTCGCCGACCTCGCGCCCGCCATCGAGGCCATGGTGCAAAATATGGTGGTCTCCCTCCTCTCCGACCGCACGCTCATCTACGCCACAAACATCACAACCACATGCCGCTCAACAGAATTCCGCAACATCTACACCTACAACTGGGAGAAGCTTGTCGGCGTCTACAGCGCCGGCGTGTTTGTGGCGCTGGCCATCGGCGCGCTGGGGTTCGTGGCGCTGGCGAAGAATGGGGTTGTTAGTGACGATAGCTTCTCGACGTTCCTGCTGACGACGCGGAATCCGACGCTGGATAAGCTGGCGGCGGGCGCGTGTTTGGGCGGGGAGCCGCTGCCGAGGGAGTTGCAGAGGTTGAAGTTTAGGTTTGGGGTTGTTGGGGAGCGTGGAGAGGGGGTGGGGCATGTGGCGTTGGGGTTGGAGGAGGAGGTGGTGGACATTAGGAGGGGGGGGAGGTATTCGTGATTTGTGGATTGGGGTGGGAAAGGGGGGGGGGGGGGGGGAAGGTGTATAGACTTGGGAAGGCGTTTGTGTATAGATTTACTTTACTTATATACTAGTGTGATTAATTGTAATTTGAATGTGATGCTGAGCATCGAAACTTTTGCTGTGCACATGTGAGATTGTTTCGTAATTGTTGAAGTCTCTATCCTTCCCGCAGTGTATGCGGAAAAATTAACTTTAGTGAGGAGCAACAGCGTCGACAAGTGAGTGATGCCACAAGACACGCCAACCTGCGATCGACATGAGCACTGGTGGAGGTCGTTCTATCGAGTGATACCCCATGACTCACCAACTCTAAACCCACTACCGAACCCGCCACCTCTTCATAACCACAAATACAATCACCACCACCTAGTCCCCGCTGCAGTGGTCATGTCACGCGGCACTTCATGTGGTACTGCGTGGAAACGCTGTATTAGACCTTAAACTACAATCACTTCCAACCATCTTCGCGTCCGTCCGTCTGGCTTGTCCTGGTAATCTTCACACATGGCAGCTGAATTTACATATACACATAACTCGTCTTGGCACAGCGGTTTTCCCCCGCCAGCTCCTGTAAACTCAATATGCTGTATTTAGTAACCCTTTTTTAAACTGAGAAAGATGGCTCTTTCGCCGGCTCGATCCTTATTTCCCGTTTTTGGGGGAGCTGCTGTTGGAGCAAGTGGTGGGGGGGTTACGGTTTGGTTTGGTTTGGGGTTTTGGTCGATGGTTGGGCTGGGTTTGTTTCTTATTGAGAATTGTATGCCGAAACGGTGGGAGGCTGTTAGTCTTCTTTGAAGTTTGAACCGCATGTATTTGTTTGGCAGACTCGAAATCATCTATAAAGCAACAATACCACGAAACATCGGGGGTCAACACCTGTAAGGAGGAAAAAAAAGAGAAGCTTCCCCGACTCGTCTAATCATGATCATATTCTTTAAATCGCATATTGCATACTCGGTACAAAAGCGCCCTCAGAACGTAGACCAACCACTACTATATAGACCAACCAATGGCATGACATAAAAACACAGAAACGAACAACTGATTAAAAGACGGAAAGAGCAGCTACTCTACCGAGATCAATATCTACGTAAATAGTACCAATTATACCTAGCCAGTACATGTATCTATGTAACCGATCGAGCAGGTAGCGCGCGCGCGGTCATGGGTTATCACTCGATATCTATACATCCTGTGTTTTGGTGCATTTTATTAGGCTGCTGCGCATTTAGTGAGTGTTTATTCTTATTTGAAGTTGTAGGTCTTTATTCCCCGACCCCAGATCGATTCATAGGAAAATGCATTTAGTGAACGCTCGAATGCGGTGATGGGAGGCCTAGGACTTATATTTCGAGTTCCTTTGCAGGAAATAACCGGGCGCCCACCTGGAGCGGATGGACCACCATAGCTATAGAAAGATCGATATCGAGCCCGTATTAGAGATTCCCTAAGATGATACACGCATGGAGAATTACCTCCAGGTATAATATCAATACCTCGTTCGTTTTCCTCGTAAGCTAGCGTTTAGCTGAGGCTTTACAGACACATGTCGTGGCGTGGTGGGGGGCCTGAATCATATTTTCCCAGAGAGAGTGGAGTCATTCCGGGAATGTTGGCACTTATAGCTGGAAGAGTATGTATGTATTAAGCTTATGATACTCGTGCACGTACATATACGTGCTGCTCGACATTTTACATATCTAACGGCATCATACATGTATTCATGTCCACTAGCTAGTGTGATCCCCTTTCTAAGGCGGCAGCTGGTAGATATCTGATACATACCTTCTTGAGTACACACTTACTCCGCTACCCTTTGTTTGTACTCCACCCTATTGGCACTCCGGCAGAAGACAGGTGAGACAAGTCTATATTTGATAATCAGTAACCCTAACCCTATAATAAACCTAACCCTGCTTATATGCACGATAAAAACTCGGATGGTTCTGTCATGATGCATCCCATTCAAGTAGTTTGCACCCGATGGCGTCTGGTCTGCTCTCGTGGGCATGCGTGCTTACAGTATAAACTTCTGCGCCTCGTATTCTCATGAGCTGGATCGATATACCCGCAATGGATGTGTGACATGGAGGCGGATTTGATTAGTAAACAGCGTTCGGATGGTGATGTCAGAAATTTTGAAAGTGATGCCACTGCCTACTAATGTATCTAAATAGTAGTTAGCGAAGACTTCAGTTTTCTATAAATTAAAACGTGGTGCGGATTAATGGGCTTTGAGCTGAGGCTATGAACTCTAAGTCAAAATGGAAAGCGAGATAGGTGATGGAGTTGTCAGTGTTCGTGAGAATAGAATAAACAAATTCAAAACACAGAGGTTATGCTATACTAGCAGTGTTATATCACATTAGTTGGTTGTCGTCGAAAATGCCTATTCGGGTTTTGTAGTTCGTTACTCCATTAGGCTACTGCTAGAGCATTTCCCTCGATTCCCTCACTTTGGTCATTGCAAGCCAATGTTCAAGAACTCGCTCACACTCGCACTCTGGAGAATCAAGTTCAGGTTTTAATCTAAGTATAAATTGCAAAAAATTAAGTACTAATAGAGCGCCTCCTGAGCCGTAAAAAACTCAACCCAATCCTCAGCTACACTAATAATATTGCTCGCGCTACCGCCCACCCAACACCCCCCTAATATATAACCCATCCATAAAAGTCCAAAAAATCAAAAAAAAAGACAAAAGAGAACTAGAGCAATGTAATGGAAGAGAACTAAATCCTTCCAGAAGAAGAAGAAAAAAGCACAACCAGAACTAACTAAAAACCCCAGCCAAAAGCTAGCTGTAGCGACTTAAACAACTTGAATCCCAAGTCCACTGCTCATGGGCCAGCCGGCCCAGTCCTCATCACCCTGGGGCACAACTTCGTATCCAAGAGTAGTTGCGGACTCAGGGCAGGGGAATTTAGGTGGCGGGATGGCATCCCAAGTGGCCGACGAACCATCTGGAGCAATAGTGAAAATACCGTAATGGATGTTACGGTAAGGGCGGGAGGTGAAAGTGTTAGCGGCACTGATGGGGCCACCGACGCTAAAGAGCTGGACTTTGCGGGTGCCTCCAGCATAGAAGCCGTTACCGAGGACAAATTGACACGTTTTGCCTTTAAGGCCGCCTGGCAACGAGTAGCTGAGGAGGGTGTTTGTATCATATTGCACGCCTTGGTAGGTCCACTGTTGGCAAGTTTGTTAGCATTCTGTTTGTATCATATGTAAATATGGGGGGACATACTCTGCTGATTGAGACCCAGTCGCTGGTGTACCCATAGCTCGGGCTCCAAATAACGGTCGCCGGGCTGTTGGGGTAGTAAACTGCCTGTTGGCGGGCCTCGAGCTGGACATCTGCCTCTGCCTCTGCGACAGGAACGGAAGCGACCAAGCCATTGAAGAGGGCGAGAGCAGCGGCGATGATGGTGAACTTCATTTTGAAAGATTTGAAGATGAGGATCCGAAACTAGGAAGTTTTCTTGTCTGGTTGAGAGAGAAGTAGTAGACTGAAGCTGTAGTAGTCTTGCTGTTGGATGTCCGAGTGGATGAGGAAGGGAAAGAGGTAATTGAGGGTGGGATATCGAGGGGTATTTATCGTGATATTGAACTTAGAATTTTGGAGTCTCTTTCCAGCTGCGGCTGATATGATCGAATGCTGCTTTTTCGAAATCACGATCATTGACCTCTTCTGACCTCTACACTGCCCCGGCATGTTCTTTGAGAAGTGCAACTAACTTTTCGTCTGAAAACAGTAAGCCAGAGTGCAACTCATAGCTGCATGTATGTCTCAAGCCAACCTCAAAAGCCATCTATACCAATAATAATCACAGAAGCGCCTGAGAACCTTTCAGTGTCTAGGGACTACATGTCGGTACCAATGTACAGTTGTACCGTTCTCTTTCGTATCTCGGGTTCGTTTCCATCTCGTAAATTTTCCGGATTTGAGTATTTCGTACTCCAGAATCCATATCGTGTTACTTACTGGGATCTCACCACATGTGTCTCCTTCTAATTTTAATGTGTTGATCCTAGTATATACCACATATCAAAGTATGCACTCGCCTCAGGTATTGCTTCCTACCCCTCGTGAGTATCTGCAGACTAATGATGCAACATCGGATATCCAGCACGTTCATCTACGCGAAATACCGCACACAACCTACTCTGTATCTGCCTACCAACAGCCAATTCTTACAGCCCCAGACTAGTTACAGAGGCTGATAAGAGCCTTAGCCTAGCCTGCTCTCGTCAGAGTTCAAAGTGCGATCCCAATGCCAAAAAACCTAAATATTACTATAATTTCTTTTCTTCTTCTACAGTATGTAGGGCTATGCAAGACATCGGGTGCTGGAGCCAATAAACGCACTGACCATGCGTCCCTACCAAACCAACCATGGAGTGCAGCTTTAAATTCGCTTCCGACGGAAATTTTCACCACAGGTCTGGGAGGGCATGTATGTATGGTACTTATTTTAGGTGCTGTACAGCGTGTGGTAAAATTATTGTAGAAGTATGGGAAGAGTCCTATTGGCCGAGTCAGCCACTTAAACCCTGTTTTTACACCCCGGTTTCTACCTCTCGCTGTATGGTGCTTACCCGAAGTGATGGGCTGAGGTTGCACGATGTGACAAAGAACCAAAGAGGTTTTTGGTGTTTTGGTACAGGTGGTGAGGTAGTACAAAGGTGGTGGTTCTTTGTGTAAGCATTTTTGGTGGGGGCTTATATGATAGGGTATTTTTGGGTAAGACACTAGTTGGCGTTGGCTGCAGGAATACGATAGCCGGCCGCCAACAGCATAACGTGATTCTCACAAGGTAATCGTATGTAGTCAGTGTTGAGTACCTACCCGAATGGAGGAAGGTTTTGGAGTATTATCATTCGTCCCGAATAATTTCTCCCACGTATATGAGTAAGATGTTTCCATACCACTGGATTCCGTATGTACAATAAATGATGATGTTTGGAGGATCTGGAAGCTGCCGATGTTGTCAGATCTAGAATATGAAGATCGAAAATCTTTCTTAATTAGGTAGAAAACTCTATCAGCGGTAGCAATGACCAATAAATTGCTCCTCCAGGTGCTTCTTTGGTCAAGTGGTTGACTCAATGCTTCAATTGCAAGCGCAGCAAACAAAGTGCAATAGTAAGTGCAACAAAGATCTATTTCGGGATAAAGCTGATCACCATAAGGCTGGTGAGAAGAAGCGTTACTTCCAGCATGCGCACAGATTAATGGAGACTTTTAGCGGTAGCTAGTATCCATTCTACACGTTGTTGCAGTACGGTGGAATAATTTCCATTCACTTGCTAGCTGATAGCTATCATGATCATACATACAGTAGAGCCACTCGCGTCAGCCCAGATTATACCCCGCCTTGAAAAACGTCGATGAAAATCGAACTTACATATGATACCGATCTAGTAATTCCTAAGAAAAACTGCTAACCTTCCCACATATCTATTCCGTCGTGAACTTTCAGCCGTACCGGCTTACCGCCAAAGCTGAGAGGCTTTGACAACGCTTGAACCTCTTAGGGCACAAAGATTAGTTCATAGGGCAGAAAAGCTAAAGAATACAACCGCTACAGTAAGAGTAAATTTAAAGTGCAAAATACGGCACAACAATTGGCGTGATTCTGGATCAATAAGTTACTTGCAGAGCAAGCATAGATTAGGCGGTCTTTGTACCGTGTAATACTTCCTGCGCAGTCAATAAAAACAAGCATCGAGCATATGCAATGCTGTTGGTCTAAAACGGCTTAATACTGCGTGCTAGTTACTGGTGGATCTGACATCACTGAATTGCACTTTTCTGCATGTCTGAGTTTGTTGCAGTAGGGCGTAGGGCTCATGTGATGATTGCCGTAGGACATGCGTGGTGGTGGGTTGGGGGCGGACGCGAGGGTCCAAAAGTGTATTCCTTGAGTTACAGTTCAGGGTGCTTTCTGCATTGCCCTTCCTTCCCTCTTCCTAAAGTTCACTTCGCACCTCTACTCTCATAGCCCATCGATCATAATAATTCATGAGCCATCAATGTAGGCACAGTACTGATAGGTAGTTAATCACGACCACGAGGTCGACTTAATCACTTGTTAAAGCAGAACTCGGAAGAAACAAACCACTCATATTCTATTTTAGCAAACCCCGATTACTGCCTAGAAAAAGTTGTTTTTCGGGTGGAAAATATTTCAACTTGCTTGATCTTGATTACTTGAAGTTGTAGCTTCATCTGATCAGATCTCGCTATTCAAAAATAGATAATAACCACATATGAGGTAACACAGACAAGAACTTCCAAGGAAACCTGACCCTGGCGACATATTGAATACGAATGAACGATGGTATCAACACAAAAAATTCGTTCAATATATCCGCTTTCGGAATCGGAAGAGACAGCACATATCGGCACTGTGCTTCAGAACTCAAGCCAACTACTCACAAGTTATTTCTAGAACAGGTTCATGTTCATTGACACGAGCCTCTTTCTGTTTTTCTTACATCCTACGACATCGGTACATTCGATTCTCAACAGGTACGTTTATTTTAGGTTCATGTATCATACAAACAGGTTCCCCGAATCCCCACTCTCTTCTCTCTCGTCTTCTACCTTCAAAATCATCCAATTCCCGAGTGTCACGAAGCTAGCTGGGAAAGGCCTATACCCTCAATCGAACTATTTCACCCAGAAATAACATCTACCTAATCAGGTCTATCCAAATTTTGTGCTCCCTTTTATATGCGTGTACTACGTTTTGAGCGGAACATCAGCATCAATCCTAGCTATCATGATGAACGAATGCTGATGAAACACAACGTCGACTGAGTGACTATAGCTAGAGCAGAAATTGTTGGCGAATACGGGAATGATGGTAAGTCTGGTTGTCCGAAGATCGATCTAGATTGTTTCTCTGAATTCTGAATATAGCTCCGATCTGGCAGTTGGATGGTCATCATTTGAAGGATTGATATATCGATAGTGTCATGCGTAGATGCGTCTCAAAGGTTTATTCCTTCCTATCCTTTCCCACGTGCTTCGAACACATCTTTCCAGCTCTCATCATCCGATTTCAAAGCTCAAAGTCTATTCTAACAACTTCCAGTGCAGCTGAAGGAAACACCGATCTAAACATCACCCCGGCCACGTCTAGGTTTATTCGCAAAATAGATTCTAATTCAATACTTCCTGATCTATTCGATGATCATACTTGATCCTATGGAGCTCTTAATAGATCAAACCTCGATGAACAGCAAACTACACCGCACTCTGGGTTATGCGTGCTCATATGGTCGTGCTTGGAGACGAACACTACGGGAGACAGCTCAAACTTTTATAGAATATACGTGGCAACATGATGAAGCTCTCTGTAGTTAAATTTAGTTGAGTCAATCGCAGCAAGCTCTTTTCGACTTATGAGATTTGGTACTTGTCTGTATTTTACGCCTGTACATTGTAGCCATCACTATGGTTTATGAGAACGATCCCGAATGGCGTCAAAAAGTTTAACCACCAGCTAATTAGCTGTCCATGATATATGTCTTCCGCATGCACCTAGCTAGCTGGCTGGCTTTAAGTAAATCGATTGATGTGCAAAAAAAGAATCGCCACCAGAACTGCAAACTGCAATCAGAATCTCAAGGTTCTCTCACGTGGGACCGGCATTGTAAAGTGCAGTCAGGTATTGGAGTTCAACGATTGCATAAGTGTTTCGTTTATATGTGCAGATCTGGCCAGTGAGATTATGCAAGATGGAGATCATGGCGAGTCCAGGGATAAAGAAAAGCTACCAGGGTGGTTAGGGTTTCAAGGATTGTTTAGTCCTCAGGGTTGGGGTTTGTTAGATCATGCTGGTGCGGGTCATAATATCTCACTCGGAATATGGTTTTCTTTGGACGAGTGAGGCATGATGATAAGCAATCGCGATCTTGTAGATCAAGAAGTCTTTAGACCAATATTAGTACTCTCGGTGAAACAATATACTCACATGTCGCCTCTTCAGTTAGATGAGCGAGTTGTAAAACATATAGAACCAGTGGTTCTAATACCTTAATATCATTACAAATACACAACCAAATGAGCCTTACCATTTGGAATACACTAAGAAAACTTCCCCAAGCTGGTTTCCGATTATTCTGGAACGATCATAAGACATGTGTAGGATTTTAATAAGCATTCAAAAGATGTAATGCATTCTCATAATCTCTTAATAATAATACAACCTCCCTGCATTTCCGATACGGTTCATAAAGTAAGGCCTGTGTATTGTGGCCCGCCGCCGGTACATCAATTTTGGCAAAGCAAGTACTTATTCAAAAAAGGAGTGATAAACAGGGTATACACGCAAGTGCAAACCCTCCCAAAACGCCAAACAACTTAGTAGGGAGTGCCAAAATTCCAAAACCAAGAGTAACGCCACCCCCCCAAAAGGGTTCAATCCTAATAAACCAAGCCAATCATCAAACCTCAAACCCCCAAAATCTTACCCCATCCTCTTCTCTTCCCCTCTTTATACCTCCTACTAAACTCCTCCCACTTCCTCTCCCTCTCATTCCAATCCTCCATCTGGCTCGCCAAATGATCCCAACTCTTCGCCTCCTCCTCCTCCAAGACCGTATCGGCGTCCGTCTCCGTTTCCTTCGCACCATCCTCTTCGGCCGTCGAGACCACCGACACCTCCGAAACACCTGACCCTCGCCGGCCGTCATCATCCCTCATACGACTCAACACCCTCGCCGCGTCCTCAACCTCCTTTGCGGCCTCGTCACGCTGCGCCCTTCGTGCGGCAACGTTTGCATATGCACGGTTCTGATGCCCTGACCCAGTCAGGGAGGGCCATGAGGTGACATTGTAGTTTGCTGAGAGAAGTGAGGTGTAGTTTTGTGACTGGGCCTGGCGCGGGGAGGGGAGTGCTGTGTAGGTTGGGACGAGGGTAGAGGTGGAGTGGTACGATGGCGCAGCGGAATATATCGAGAGCTGGTCGTCGCGCTGGGGGTCTTCATAATAGGTAGGTGGGTTCATCTTTTTTTTTTTTTTTTTTGAGGTTTAGAGGTTTCTTTGGTATTTATTCTTAAGAGTACTCGAGTAGGAAGTTTAACTGTGAAGTAGAGAAACGGATTCACGGCGTTGAAGCACTTTACGCGTGGGGGGCGGGGTAATGATGGGGTGACGCGAATAGTGGCGTGTGATAAAGAGAGCGAGGTCTGGCCTGTGACCTGCATGTGCTGCCTAATCACAGTATGAGTAGTACTATCATGTGCGGATATAGAGGACTCGTTGCATCGGAGGTTAATTTGACACGTGCACTCTAGATCTATTTTTCGTAGTACCTAACATATCTGCGGTGCGGGCTAGAATGATGTATGTATGTAATATGTGTGGTCTTCCAAAACCCTTGACCACATAGCTGTTTGGTAAGGTTGTCGATGTATGTACATAGTCGGGATGAATGAAGCGTGGTCGATGATTTTTCTTGGACTTATGCATGGAATATCACTCGGGGATTCTATTCGGAAAATTACATTTTGTACAATTGTTCGAACGATAAATATTCAAACAGGCTCCTAACAAAGTAGCAGCCAACATTTCAGCTCCACGGTACCTCCTTACTTCTTACAGTGATACTCGCCTTATAAGAATATATTCAATACAGATTTTCGGTTCCGATCGACCGTATCCTTATATCGAGAGGCGACTAGAATTCTTTCCTCTGAACTAAGCCGCAGTCTTTCCCACCGCTCTTCTGGCAACACTCAGCGCTTTTCACCCACTGCCGCAGATCTAGAGGTTTTTTTGTCACCGTCAATGGCTCTCATGGTATGAAGAGCGGTTTCAACAACCATAGACTGAGCGCATTGAATCTCGGCTCCGGGGTCGTCTTTGGTTTCGTCGAGCTTCGATGTACTGGTGCGGTCGGGCTTCGAGCCGATGCCGTCCAGTTTCGAGTCGAGCTTATTAAAAGCATGGTTTCGACCAGCACGTGCCTCACATGTACAGATCACAGCACCAGAGACGAGAACAGTGGCAACGAGAGTAGCCATGACACCTTCATGACGGAGACGCAATCCTAATAGCGACAAAGTATTTTGTCAGCAAACTACGATAACGTACTTCGAAAACTGATAGCCGTTCCTTGTCTGTCCGTTGGCCGTGTCGTGTACTACCGTGATGATATCGTGTCTCAGTATTTAACGTTTAGGATCAGAGGTTCAGGTGTTCAGGATCTCACGATCTTTCATCTTGGTGTTGTGTTCCAGTGTTCTCGCGGAGGAGAAGGGTTGTAGGTTTTTGGACAGAATTTTTCGTCTGTCGATTTATAAGGATAGCAATCGGTGGTCCCGAAATTCCTTTTTACCCGTACCTTCTTAATTACTTCTTATCATAGCAGTCCAAGGTCATTTTGCGGCCCGGGATAACTAATTTAAGCCGAACTTAGCCCTACCCCAGGCACAATTTCCTTTATTCAGTACATTGTCCAAGTTTTTCTTTTATATCATACGAAACATTTTCACACCTCATCTCCTCTTCACCCCCCACAGCTCAAGTAGTGCGTGACTTCGCCAACGTAAACGTACCTCCCAGGAAGGCGATTTTTTTTTACCACTTCCACCTTCCACTGCACAAACGTTTAATCAATAATACTAGTAGGTCGCTAATCGCATGGTAATCTGATACCGAAATGCGCGTAAAAGAAATATACAAAAAAATAAAAAAATAAAAAAATAAAGACACTACCTCATGTAAATCTGCCCAGTCATGTGTATATACAGCTTAAATAACAATATGAACAGTGCCACCATAAAGTTGATAGGAGGTAGATTGACTGATCCAAGCCAACCAACAGCACCCCGTCGAGGAAATAGGTAGCCATGCCAATCGATGACACTACAGAAATCCTATTCAGCACATGTCCCTCCCAATAATCTTATAACTTCTTTGTGTTCTTCTCGTATCGCGATAGTGAGTGGTGTATCTCCAGAATCATCTGAGAGAGAGGTATCGGCACCACGATCTACCAGGAGTTTGACAGCCTCGAGGGCTCCTTTGCTTGCAGCGTAGTGAAGAGCAGTTGACCCATCTATCGCAGCAGAAGATATATCGATGCCATGTTCAAGCAGAAACTTCACCATAGCTTCCGAGTTCTCCTTTAGGCCAATGGCGAACCAAAGAACTGTCCTTCCAAGATTTTCTTTGGCTGAGATATCGGCGTTGTTAGAAAGAAGGAACTTGAGCATAGCCTCACTTCCTGTATAGATAGCATTCCAAAGTACAGTCTGTCCGGTGTTATCCCTGGCTGAGATATGAGCACCGTTGTAGAGGAGCAGTTCGGCAATATTCGTCCTGCCTGATAAAACGGCGTCACTAAGTGCAGTGTTTCCCTCGTTATCCGCGGCCAAGACATCGACGCCGTAAGAAATTAGAAGATCCACTACGACCTCACTTCCTAAATAAGCGGCGTCCATAAGTGGCGTCTCCCCATTATTATCTGTGACTGAAACATCGATAGATTCGAATTCATTGAGTAGTTGTAGGAGTAAATCCTCATTCTCTACCAAAACAGCTGGCCAAAGTACAGTTCTTCCATCAAGATCTTTGGCTGAGAGATCGATATCGTGGGAAAGCAGGAGGGTGACCATATTCTCCTGTTCCGCCAAAAGAGAATCCCAAAGTACAGTCTTTCCTTCGTTGTTCTTGGCTGAGATATCGGCACCGCAATTGAGGAGGACATAGAACCCAAGCTCATGATTCGACATGACCACATTCGAAAGTACACCGTTTCCATCCTTATCTTTGGCTGAGATATCAGCGCCGTGCTCGAGAAGAAGACTGACAATCTCAGGGCAATTTAAAATGGTCATAGCAGCTTCGAAAAGTACAGTTCGTTCTTCGTTGTCTGTGGCTGAGACGTCCGCCCCATATTCGAGCAGGAGTTTGATAATATCGACTTGTTCCGACCGAACAGCTGCCCAAAGCACAGTTTCCCCCTCGTTATTTTTGACAGATAAATCAGCGCCGTGTTCGAGTAGCAGTCTGACTATATCTTCCTTTTTAGACAAAATAGCCGCCCAAAGTGCAGTCTTTCCGTCATCGTTGGCAGCCCCTTGCTCAATCTGTGTCTCCACAAGTCCATGGTTCCCGTTTGCTGCCGCTTCAATGATTGGCGTATGTCTGTCAGAGTCCCCGGATGAGAGGTGACATTCCTCCGCTTGGGTGTCGAGGAGAGGTTTGGTCATCAAATCCTCATATTCCATTGATGGTGTATGGTAGGTGTTAGTGGTTCGCTACGGTTTATCGAGGCCTAGCAGGTGGTGGTCAGATGCTTGGCAATAGAAAGATTGTTGGTTACTACTGTTGCTAGTTCTAGTGTTGAATATTTGAGACTGGTTGGAAAAGAGTCGAGATATATAAATCAATTCTTGGGTTGTTGGGTTAATATGCTCCGCCTCGCGGGGGGTTACAGGGCCAGGATGGGGATTGCGCCTTGATTGAGGCTGGGCACATGTATTTACTCTAGGATCGAGATTTTCAAGTTTAGCCATCCCCCCGTACTTATGGAGAGTATGGATTATAATAACCATGGAGGCTAATATTAAAGTCATTTAAGCTTGACACGTTAGATTTCGTTTTCATAGAGTACGTCATTATATCATAGATCTATTTGCTTGAACACGTACCCGTACCAACACTTAAATACATGTAGGTATATTAAGTACTTACGACGTACATACAAGTATGTAGTAAGAAACACTTGCACATACATGTAGGTAACCACACATTCGTATCAAAAGCAAGAAACAGAACAGAAAGCTTATGCTTATAATTGCTCTCCCCAAAAAGCAAAAATCCAGAGTCTTAGATTACACGCTATAAAGAAATAAGGAAAGAGGCTTGGAAGAAAAGAAAGAAAGGTGAACGTCCGTTGACGAACCAAATCGCATAATGCGCCCCGTAGCATACATCTTCAGGTATAACTGATATCATCATCTGCTTCTCCCGCTTCATCGCCTTCATCGACTTCATCACAATCGCCGGATGATGCTTCATCCATGGGTATATTCACGTCTCCTTGGCCATTTCCCACGCCGGGCGTAGCACCACTACTCCCACCAGCCACAGCTCCATCCCTTGAGCTCCACATGCGGTCTAACTCAGTAGTTAGTTGTACCTCCTCAGCTCTTCCGTACAACTCCCTTGACATGGCCGCTCTCTCTTCCCACTTCTTTGCCCTCTCCTCTAAGCTTTTCCCCGTCTCCCATAATTCGGCATATGCGGTTAGCCTCTCGATCTCATGTCCTTTGCGTGCGAATTCACGCCCAAGCTCTTGCAATGCGAGGCGTTTCTTCTCGTTATCGTCGAGAGGCTGCCATCTCGTCCACTCTTCGTTCAAACGAGGTGACCACGTACTTAGTGGAGAGTTACGGAAAAGCGTATATAATGCCGTGTATTCATGGATATCAGGATGCACTACATTCCAGGTTCCGGTGTGGTAAAGAGGGACGGGGGTAAATAGTGTTGGTGGTGCGGGGAGAAAGTGATACGCTAGCGTTGCGAAATTGAGAATTTGGTGGGGACTCGTGGGGGTCAGTTCTGATCCGGGGGTGAAGTGGGGCAACGAGGGCAAGGAGGCCGAAGCTTTTCTGAAAGGCTGTTAGCATACTCCGAACTCTGTGGCGCTAGATAAACAGTGGGGAGAAAGCTGAGTAATCCTAGTGTGGAGTATGGGTGATATTCTATGATTGGTAGGGTCCTACGGAGGCTTACATCTCCTCCACTTCTTTAGCAAGCTCCTTGAATACCATGCTTCTAGCCATATCCGCAATCCTTTTCACCCTCTTCTTCTCTACCTGCTGCTCCTGATGTCTTTCATAGTTCCTCCGGTTCTGCAGACTCTTCTTCTACATGACCCCGAACCGTCAGCGCGCTCTTGAAACGCACCGAGTCAACCGCACCCGATACCCACCTCCTTGGGATCCATATGCTTCATTCCTCGCAGCCGTCGAACGTCGTGGCGTAGATTTCTCATCTGGGAGATCGCCTCCTCTGTGTGCTTATCATCTGGCCTGGCTGGGCTGACTGCATATACCCACTGATCATAGTGACGCCCCAGCCCACTCTTGGTAAACACCGCACCACACCATACGCAGGAACAGTTTTTTGGAGGCGGTGCTCGGATGCGACGTTTTGGGGCCTGAATAGATGGGGAGGCCGTTGAAGGTTCTGGAGGGTGGGACATGGATTGTGTGCAAGCTGTTACATTAAAGATAGTTTAAAGCTATGGAACATAAGCTATGGTACGTGGTAGTGGTGTTGTGAGAAGGGTTTTTTGTAGTTTGCACACGAAAGCAAGAAGCGGAGGAAAGATGGCGTTAGGTTAAGGGTTGTTACACCAGGTTCCCGAAGCCGCAAAGCTTGGCGAACGTAGGGGAAAGATCGACAGCGGGTTTAAGCGAAAGGGTGGACTTTGTGTCAGAAGATATATATAGGCAGTACATCTGTCCCTTCTTAATTGGGCTGATTTAAAGCTTAAGTGAAACCTACGGTATCATGTATCTACATACTCTGATTGTGTGGCCTAGTTTGACAGCCAATCACTCGGTGCCTCGAATTGACCTCAACACGCGGTAGAAAAGCGACTTGCGTACATGTAGATTTTGCTATAATGATCAAACCCTAGCCCGTGGAGAGCACTGTCAAAAAGAGAAAATCCCAGTAAACCAAACGCGCGTATTTTGAAAAAAAGTGTAATAATTATACAGAACGAAGATCCATCCTCCCGCAAAAGGATTATCAACATACATGTATGTCGCTATAATCATATTCTACAAACGAAGTTAACATATTTAATCCATTCCCGGTTCTCTCCAATTGAAGATCTATTAGTTTCATTCCATTTTGAGTTGATAGAAACCAAAAGAAAGGACACGTTTCCCTCCATAGGAAAAAGAAATAACGCCGTTTATTGCAAAACGAAAAAGGCAAAAAGTAAAACAACCTTAAGTCGCCGAATAATTAAATCTAATCCACTAGCTAGGCTAGTATTTCTCTCCTATGCTTCATATGCCTTTTTAAGTACATCAAAGTGTGCTTTCTGCTCAGTCGCTAGTTTACCTTCCGTATCCTACCGCACGTATACAGTAAATAACTACTCTTCAAACTGCTAAAGGAAAGGTAAACTCACTGATATAATTGTCAGAACCAATGAATAATTATTGAACAAAAATCGCTCCCTCTTTCCTTTCTCCCCAATCCCAGCACTGAGCTTGGTCAAGAACGATTCGAAATCTCCCCTTAAGCGTCCCAGACTATTCGCAACAGGTTCATCATCGCCGGCCTCGCTACTCAGGGCTAGTATTCCTTGAACAAAACATGCGAACCTCTGCGTGAGGAAGTGTGGTGCAGCACTTTGTTTAGCTGTATTTGTTGCTGCCAAACCAAGAGCGCTGAGTTGGCCTCTCCCGCTGCCACTACCAATAAGAGAGGATTTGCGGAGTGACTCGCAATGGGCATCCATAACAATCTGGAACCGAGGCCAGAGAAGCATGCTGGTCGCGTTGATGTATGCGTCCGCTGCAGGAACCCGGCGCTTTTGCATTTCGAAGGCGGAATATTGGTTTAGTCTTACGCATAGTAAAACGCCGTGACAATCAAGTGTGGCATCAATGAGGTGTTTGGTGACCGTTTGTGCAAGCGCGAAAGTGGGCGAAAATATGGCAGAGAACATTGCCGATGCTTGATCATAGGTTTTATGAGAGAAAAAGTCTGTAATGAAGAGATATTCCGCACATGCATTCTCGACGAGGGCAGCATTGAAGTGGCGAAAGTAAACTTCCGGATAGTGGGTCGTTCTGTCCTCCTCGGCCTGATGAGAGGTCATAATTGGTGCAGTCCGGTTTTTGAGGGTGTCGATCCGGCGACCAATATTGAAAGGGTCATATGAAGCCGCTGGGACCGATTTGAGAGATGGGAGAAGGTTGTTTCTTCGTGCCGGCTCGTCTTGACCAACTGTATCATGCTTGTCCATGGTGTGAAGTTTGAGTTTCTGAAGTGCTGCATTATAGCGCTGGAAGTGACTGAGGTAGTACCAACGCATTGTGTTGATATAAGCTTGCCCAATTTCTTCTGCAAGTTGCGCATGGTGGGTTGCCATGAATAGGAAGAGTTCCTTGTACCGAATGAATCCTTGCTGCTGGATGATTTGGGCGTTTGCACCAGGAACTCTAATGGCTTTTATTTTGGCCACGAAGAAATCCCTTACCCTTTCGATCGCCTGAGCATAGTTAGTATAAGGTCAAATACTCAAAAATCGACAAGTCTTAATATGGGAAAGCAGACTTTATGCGTGAGTCTTTCTAATTCCGGCTTGACATCTTGTGCTGCTTTGACCTTGGTAGCATCCAGGACTTCGATGGCTTTCATCTTACGATCTGCTTCTTTCAGAGCCTTCACCCAACTATCATTGACCTCGCCCTCCACGATCTTTCGTATAACCCTTGGCGATAATGCAATATCTTCCACGACGGGACCGATCGCTTTCTCAACATTTTTCCTATTATCAAGACGCTGATTAAGATTCGTTGAGCGGTTCTGCAGGGTCTCGATTTCCGCGCTGACAACCCCAAGGTCCGTCTGAAAGGCGTAAAGATAGGATTCAACAGATTTAAGAACTTCGTCGCAAGCCTATTTCGAATAATCCTGAGGTAAGCGAAAATCCGTGGGATTATAGGTAGAGATCGTGAGCACTTTTATGGACCGATGTAGATCAACAAACTTGCCCTGTTCCCGCTCATCTACACATCCCTGTTAGCGCTGGTTCATATCCACCAAGAAGTCTAGAACTCACAATCCACCAGTGTGTTCACGCTATGTTTCCTAGCTCTCGCTGCCAGCTCCTGAGCTTCCGCCTCTCGCTGTTCCTCTTTCTGAACAAACTCCTCCAGACTCAATGCCCCAAAGTTGATATCCTCTAAATCCTCGATATCTGGCTCTCGGCCAGCTTCCTCCTCACCAGCGTCGACTTCGAGACCGGACTTCACTTGTACGCCGAGTATCCCCTCTAAGACGTCCAATGGGTCCCGGATACCTGATGGTATAGGAGCTGTCGCCGCGCGCCTCAGGCCAAATGTCTGTTGCTGTTGTCGCACTGAGCTGGCGAGACTCGTGGTAGAAGCATTGGCCGATGATGAAAGGCTCAATGATGATGTCCGGTGAGCAAGCTGCGGCCGGCTTCCAGGTCTGCGGCCAGGTAGAGGAC